AAGTTGGGTCCAGCTCTTGGCGAGGCTTTTTAGGCTAGGCAGGAAGAGAAACATTCTTGTTGCTTTGTTATTTACTTGGGCTCAGGAACCCTAAGGTGTATTGGCTTGCCAGGGTTTATAAAAGCTTGCGTTTTGATTCTTTACCAGGTATTCTTAATATGTTTTTGATCCTCTTTATCCAGGTTTGACTCTTGCTGACACATGCTTTCACATTTTCATGGCATTCTGGTCAATACATCCACAGTTGTTCCCGGGCACAGGTGCACGGAAGTGCTCTGCTCAATGAATCCTGGCGTCGTTTTTAGCTGAGAGGGACTTTTCCCTTTTTTCTCTGATCCAGCTGATTGGAGAATTTTACTCTGCAACCATCAGATCGTAAGCTCCTTCATCCAACTTAGAGGTTACCACTATTCTACCGGCTAATACAAACCATTACCACAAGATCTGCATGTGCAAACTTCCTCCCCCTCCCTTATCACATTCTCTGCCGTACCCTCCTGCCACTTTATCATTCATCGCTCTGAAATCAGCCATTAACCCACTGTGCTCCACTTCTCCCGCCCTTGACTAAAGGATATGCTTTCCTGAGTCTCCTCGACTCCTCGAATCAGCCTCGTATTCCCCCAGGACTGGCAAACAGCCGTGCTAGCTCATGGCCAGACAGCTTTTAATCATTTATTTAGGGGGCTGTAACGTCAAGTTCAACTCCACATTCTCACTTAGTGCACGCAGAGACGAGAGGGAGAGAGCGGCGGAAAGTGAACGAGAGGCACCGCATTAAGTTTGGATCAAGAAGCCAGTTTGTCAGCGAGCCTCCGAGGATCCCTCCCTCCTCTCTGTCCAATGCTTCGCCAAGTGCTATGTTAAACAAGTGTAGGATGTTGCTGCTGTTATTTCATATTCCTGTTTGGACGACGGTGTCATGTCTGGGTTCACCCAATGAGACTTCAAAGGAATGAAACGTCATAGGAATGCAGTTAATTTGTCCAGATTTCATTCGCAGAGAGCCGAGGAGGTAAACAGTATCTGTACTGAAGAGGAACGGATAAATCATGCCACACGTGCAATTAGAAGCACATGGAGACACACACACACACACACACACACACACACACGGCTTAATTCTCTTAATTCAATGCCGAGGAGAGATGCGTCTTTGTGTTTCAATGGAAGAATGCTATCTGCAGCAGTGTAACAGGGCTGCATGTTTCATGTGGTGTAAAAGTGTGCTGTAAAAACAAAACAACAGAACAACTTAAGAAGCAGCTGTATTATCTGTCAAGTCGCAACAGGCGGCCAATGAGTGACCAGAGACCTGGAACGGACTCGCACATTCTGACCTTATATTTTCAGTGGAGCTTGCATTTCTGTGAACTCGTTTTCTCCCTTGGCATTGTAAACATTGGACATTTTAAATGGATGCTGTACACACTCACAGACTCGTCTAAATAAGGTGTACACCGAGTCACAAAGGTAACTCACATAAATAATCAAACAGAACAAGGTTGTTGATTGGAGGCAAATAATGAGCACTGACCTTTTCTGAATACCATTATAAGGCCCTTTGCTGCAGAGTCGTGTTGTTTAGCCTGAGGTCAGTGGTAAGGAATATCTTTTCCTCAGCTCAGCAACGGTTGTGTGTAAATAAATGCGCCTCTTTCTATGCAGCAGATAGTCTTCCCAGTCATTAACCCCAATAATGGGACTTTCTCCAAGTGTAATGACCTAACTCAGCTCAGTTCAGAGTGCTAATTGACTCTAAGTTAGTGGATAGAGTGCGGCAGGTAAATAGAGAATGTTTTCATTTTCTTTGTGCTGCTGAAGGAGATGAGGCACACATACAAAAACAAGAGCCCAGGTCTTTTTTCCCAGCAGGAACATGGAGAGGCTGGAGAGTCGTGGGATTAGGGGGAAATATCCTCAGCATAAAAAGTGCAAACTTTTGACTGATCAGCAAGAAGGACTGGAGATCAATGAGGACTGTGAGGAGCTTTGAAGCCTGAGAGGAGCCGGCCAATCAATGGAGAATTGTTCAGTCGTTAGTGTCTTCAAAGATGTGAAGAAAACAAGCAAGTCTAAGGCACCATTTGTAATGTTTCAAGAAAACAGTGGAGACTAAAAAAAACTTTTCCTCTTGCTCTCTCCTCGGCCTTCACTCTGTGTCACGCTGCAGCTGGATGTGATTGGTCAGACAAACATAGTTTTTCTAGTTTCTAGTTTTTCACATTTTTCACATTGTGAGGTGAATTTGCAAATAGTTAAAATGATGAGGTTAACAGAGGTTAATAGTTAAAATAATGTTTTTCATTGTTCTCTTTTTTCTTTTGATTAAGATTAAAAGGGGGTCATTTAAAGTCAATTTAAAGTTAAAAATTTGCATTTTACACATAAATTTGGTTGTTTTGTCACATCTATGAATAAAATTACATGTCCTCTAAGACAGGTAAAGGTAAAGAAACAGGAAGTGCACACAATAAAAGTGATGTCAAACAACCTGAAAAAAATACTTATGGTCATACTTATGGTATGATTCTACAACTCCCTGTTTCTCTTTTCCCACTACACTGTTCTGTTCCCGCTGTGTCCCTCTCCGCCCTCTCCATTACCTCTGATTTCCTCTCCCTTGCTTGGCTCCATGGTCTTTTGGTTATCAGTGATTGCCTCATATGCTTTCCTTCCCCTCTCCATCACGAGAGCTGTAATTTTGTCACACTCATGCACAGCGGTGGGCCGTGCCAAGGCGTTGCACCTCTGACCACTGACTTCATATCGTTTCACATCAGCAGGAAATGCAGCGAGAAACACATTTTTCTCATGCATTCACGCAGGGTCAGGTGGGGTACGGGGGACTATATACTCACTTTCATCCTTAGCCCATGGCCAAGTTTTCTTCAAATTCATGGTCTCCCAATGAAATATGAATCAAAAACAGTCCTCCAGGCTTCTGCTTGCCTTGAAAGAAGCTTTAACTCAATTTGAAGTCTCAAGAGGTGAAGAGTTGCTAGCTACCCTGCATTGCAGTGTTTGGATATAATATTAGGGCCAAATAAATCATGGACTGTCAGGACTAGAAACAAAAAAATCTATATTTATATATTATATATATATTTATAGTTTCCTGCTTGTATAGTATATGGGTGCTGTCAAGAGCGCGTGTGCTTACAGATGCATTATTTTCAGGGCTGTTTTTAAGCTTTGCTCTGTGGAACATAGTCATGTTATGGAGCAAGGCGAGAGGAAGTAAGGCTGTGGGGATCAGGGCGGTGCTGGATGGGTTTATATATTGTGTCCCACTTTGACTCCAGAGAGCTTGGTTTCTTTGACCACAAACAAGATTTTCCCCTACCTTAACAAGTTGTGCTCTTGCCCACTGTCACAGATTTTCTACAACCTTTTTTAAGTTTTAGTTGCCGAACCTTAACCATTTGCAAGAACGGTCCAATATCCACTGTTCTGTTTGAGAGGATTGTCTAAACGCAACCTCAGGATATGCTGGGATGATGAGCACCTGAATGGCTCTGACAGTACCTGGACTGGGAGTACCAATACTGCTTTTTTCTATATTTAACATTTCTTTTTGAAAAGTTGGACAATGTGCATGAAAATCTACTTGACCTGTACAAAACTAATGTAAATATCTACTTGGATGAATTGCATATCTTTGACAAAATGAATGATTGTTGGCTGGACTGCGACAGCGGGGCCAGCCCTGTGAATGCAAATGTCTTTGACTGACTGACTGACTGACTTACTGACTGCCTGTGTTGGAGTGTTGGAGTTTCCCCATTTGCTGTTGCCCTTTCAAAATGAATTGGCACAAGCAGTTTGTATTAGGGGCTCGTTTACAGCCTGCAGTGTTGCCAACTTACTGCATTTGTCGCTAAATTTAGAGACTTTTTTCAAAACAGCTTCCTAGTGACAAATCTAGTGGCTTTTTGGACAAATGTCTTTTGGCACACGTCTCTCTGTGTCTGCTCTGTTCAGTGAGTGGCAGAGAGGCGGAGCTGCAGTTTGTTACCCAGACAGAGATTGTGCGCTGTGTGAAAGACAAAACAAGAAAGATATTCTGCCACTCTAAATTTCTGTCTGAGTGAACATTTTACAGTAAATATATCTGAAATCACAGCACAGCCTTTTGTCTTTAACTTTTGTGTTTGGTGATTTTGTCAGACTATGTTGTTATAAAATCAGGACTTTAGCAGCAAAGCGGCAGCTTGGCAGTTAACATGTAGTCTTAATGAGCCATGTTTCTGTCTCTATTTCAGACCTTTTCTATTATCTGACAGCAGAAACAGAAAAAAATGGAAATGAAAACAGCTTCATTGGGAACTCAGCTGTAAAATACTGTACATGTGACCACAGAGAAACAGCTGACTCTAGGCTGAATGCAAATAGGACAGGATGTCAGTTGTTAACAGCTTTCCCACAGTTCCACAGATCTCAACTATGTCCCCAATTTTGCACTTTGCCACATGCTGTCCAGCCATATACTAGGTTTTGACTTCGTCTTGTTATACTGTATATGTGTACAGTAAACAATGTATAATAGTGACGTATTTTCTAAATATTGTCACTAGTCATATAGGAGCCATTATTATTTTTGCAGTTATTTTCATGCCCGTTTTTATATTAGAAACACTGCATTCATCTCAGTATATTTTAGTGCAGTTATTTTCCACACTTTATTATTCATGTTCTGTGTTTCACACGTTCCATCCCTCAAGCTGATGCTCAAGTGTCTCATTGCAAATTATGGGTGGCATTATATTTAATACCCTTCGTTTGCAACATCTTATTCATGCTCTATTTTTCTCTGCTGGATTCTAATATCATTTGTTGCTGCAGTGGCCCAATTAAAGTTTCATCTTGTCATATATCTAATGGAAGATTACCTGGAAATTGTGCTTTTTTTTTCCTACCTGTCTTAACAATTGAATGTGAAAATCAAGCCAACAGTAAATCCTGTTTGTATAACTTGTTTTCCCCTCTTATCTGTGCAGGAGCAGAGCCCCAGTAACGCCACATCCCTGGCCATGATGCAGGAGCCACAGGAGGTGGTGGAGGAGACGGTCACCATAGAGGAAGACCCTGGCACCCCCACCTCCCACGTCTCAGTGGTCACCTCTGATGACGGCACCACACGGCGCACAGAAACCAAGGTAAGAGGCAGAGGTGCACTCAGCGTAGTGCAGTGCATAGACAGACTGATACGGTAAAGTGAGTGACAGAAAAGTGATGAATACATGCCAGAAAAAAGAGTACATATGTACATAGAGCTGTGTTCATATTGTACTGATGTTAGACAATGTTAACTGTTAAAAAATGTCAGGTAGAACTGATGGTCCATATGTTAACATACTGAACAGAACTGATATTTCACCTGTAGTGTTATCGTCGTGGCACAGAGATCCCAATGAGCTCTTAGCTGCAAAAGTCCTTTTGATCCATTTCAATATTGCTTTGAATGATGCTTATAGATCACTGCTTCCAAACTGCACAGTACCGCACCTGCACTCCCAGACTTCCATCCTTAAGAACTCTAAATCCCATAATCCTACAGCCCAAAGTGGTTTCATCTCCCTCTCATGGCTTTATTTATTTGATTGTTGTGTTATTATGAGCCATCTCCCCTGGTGTTCTCCTGGTTTTGTGCTTCTTAAAAACGCCTTTGTTGATTCGTCCTCTGCTATGTTCTGCTGTTTTTCTGTAAGGATTTGTCAACTAACGTGAAGGTGAGTGGACTTTTATACCACTATGGCTTCTCCCACCACGCCACCATTTTATACGTGTGCCCATAGAGGCTACAGCAGCAGTGCGCTACACAGTCTGCTTCATCACAAGCCCAATAATGCTCCAGTCTGTAATTTAAAGTATTTAAAGTCACCGCTTGCTGCTTCCACCTCCTGGGATGAGACTCATTCTCTACTTTCTCATTTCTTCTGCATGGTCTTTTCTTTCTGTCTCTCTTTGTTTCATTCTCTCCTGGAAATTTTATCTTTCAACATCCCTCATTAACGTTATTGGAGGTGCAAAATAGCAGTGCTCAGCACCAATAACACATTTTACATCCCCCCAGGAGTGTTATGATATGAGATAGTGCCTTAGATCGTAGCGTAATTTAACAATTAAATCATGAAGATACACTATTAATCGCTGTCACAGAAAACACAATGTCAGAGACTTTGAAAAAAGTTAGCTTTTATTGCTGTGGCTTTGTGTTGTTTGGTTCTTTGTTTTAAACGGTAACCAGAATCACCACAGTCATCTTTACACATGTAAAGCAGCACTCTCATTCATCACTCTTTGTCCCTTTTAAAAAATCCAGCAAGTCTACACCATCTGAGAAGTGAGGTGTGGGGGTTGGAAACTCTTCCTTTGCCTCTGCATTTGGAGACATAGCCTCAATGATAACCTTATATTGCAACATCTTGCAGGGGATTCAAATGTAAACGTGGCTATAGTACAGTCGGCTGCTGCTGGAGTGGAGAGCGCTGTGTGGAGCTCCTACTCCAGGGACTGTGAGACTGTAATTAAAAAGCCTGGTCTAATCCCTCATCAGGGAGGACCCATTGCCCTCCAGCCTGTTTACTGCAAGGGGATTGGCCACACACACTCACATGATTTCATGCATTCACACACAAAATATCTTTGGAGTAACACGCACAAACGCATGCAGTAAAATATTACACTGAAACATTGCGCTAATCAGGGGCTTTGCTGCTGAGGAAGGGAAGAGGAAGGACACTCTTTCGAAAGGGCCTGCCGCCCTGCTGGGAGGAGGGAAGCCACTTTGGGGAGAAAAGCAGATTAATGTTCGGGGTGAACTTCTGGTAGCCAACATCTCTGCGGAGGCAAATGGATCCAGACCCAGCTGAGAATTTACACAAAAGAAGCCCCTCCACGTGTCTCCCTCACTTTCCCCCTCTCTGTCTCTCCTCTCTCTGACTCACTTTAATGTGTTGTTTTTCCCCCCTCTCTCCCTCTCTGTCTCTCTCGTTGTTTCGCAGCAACTCACAGTTTTATTTATGTGCTTATCTGTTCTTTTGAACCAAAGTCTTGCCATACTGTCTAATGCTAACGCACTCCTTTCCCTTGATGGTTATCCCCCATCTGACTGCTGGAAGATGAAACACTCAAGCTTCTCCCATCTTCCAGATTTGCAGGCAAAAAAAAGTTTTTTCGGTGGTAAACATGTTTGGAACTGATTTAGTATCAGCTATATTACTAGTTAGGATACTGGGAAAGGAACATAAAAACTGGCACCCTGGCAGAGCTACTGTATAAGACGGACTGGAGTCATGTTGTGCACTCAGTTGTGTGTTTGGGGGGGGTAAGGTAAGTTTCAATGAAAGTGTGAGGTTTTTATGTACGATCAGAAAACAACTATAGTATGAATGGCCTTTCATTAGCAGATTAACTGCTGTTTCTATTTATGTTTGCAATCAATGCATCTCAAAGGGAACTGGACCACTTCACTGTGCGCACGCGTGTGTATGTGTGTGTGTGTGTGTACGAGCACATGCACACGCTCAATTAGATCCACGACCGTCCTCCTGTCCCAGCATGCCATGCTTCCCTTTGGCAATCATCCAGCCCTCTTTTTCCTGCTGGCAGACACACTGAATGGAACACCAGTCGTGTCGGAGGAAGAGCTGAGTTCGGCCAATAAAAGCAGCATTCCTCCTCTTTCCTCTGGATGTGAGCTAATGAGAGTCGAGACAGACCACACAAACAAATAAAAAGCACTTTCACTACCCTGCACACACTGGGGAGCCAGCCTTCAGTGGGCAGGAGTTAGTTAATAACTTCTCAAAAAAAATGCCAAATGGTAGTTCCATCAGGTACAACTGTTGTGAGAAATGAAGTGTCACTGTTGAACAGAAAAGGAGAAAGAACATAAACTTTCGACTCTGAGTGCATTACTTTATTTTTATTTCAGACAGACTTTGCAAGCTGATTTTAAAAATAGTTTCTGGAGCACAGCAAGAACACTCTAACCTCTCTCAAATTGCACACAGCTCCATGTAGCTTCAGTATATGCAAGGCTGTGTCATTACCCACAAGCCATTACAGAGCTGAAACAACAGGGCTGCATATACTTACAAGCAATATGTAATCTAAAGCATTTTGCTGAGAGCTCTACCCACTCATCCCTCCAACTCCAGGTTACCAAAGTGGTCAAAACCATTACCCGCTGCACCTACCACCCCGTGACGCTGACTGACAACTTGTTGGTGGAGTCCAGGCCTGCCACCCGGACCCCCACCCCGGTCTCCGCGTCGAGTCCCACCGCTTCCGAGACAGACACAGTAAAGGATGCGGATGCCTGTGTGATCATTGCTGTGCTCTCCCCTCCCCCTGTCTGCATTTTCCCTTTAACGTCACGTTTTAAAGAGGCCCACATTTATCCACTTTGACTTCGCTGTCATTGTGGAGAAACTAACAATTTCTACTCCTGTCATCTTCGCTGGAAAATGAATCGCAGGGTTCACAATCACAGGCTGCTTAAAAACCTGAATTACTACCTCATCCTCTCCCACTAACCTCCGGCCACCGTGTCCATTTAAGCTCTCAATAAATTGAATGCCGCAGAGGTTGTGAAACCTTTTACAGTACCGTAAAGTGGACAGTTCGACGCCTGCAGCCTTTCCCTCCATTTTTAAAAGCTTGGTAAACAGTTGACTCCTGTGTCTAACTGCCTGTGGTCGCTCTAAACACTTTTCACTACAATCGTGATTGTCCAAACATGTGCAAACACACATACGAATCTATAGTGTATTCCGACATGTAGAATTCCCACAAGTATTTGTACGTGTACACACAGTCACACACTCACTCTTGCAGTTTTAGCAATTCTCTTTTAGCTCTGTTTACCCCGCTTCAGCATATTTCAGAGGCTCCTCTGAAACGCAGGTCCCTCGCCTCCTCTCACTTCCCCTTGCGTGACTGTTTAACGCCTTGTGAACTTGAGCATACATCAAAGAGTGTTTGAAACCTGTGTGATGGTTCCCTTTGCAGCCCTTGCAAATCACCTAAAAAGCTGTGTTAGTACAAGGCAGCTGGGCATGTCAAGGCTGGGAAGCTGTAGCATTCACCGTGCTCTCCTCTCAGCGCTGACAGCCAGAACAGAACAGAATAAAATATGATGATACTGTAAATAAAAGTTGAATATCCAGATATGAACAAAAGCCTCCTGACACTATTCTCTCTCCGGAAGGCAGAAAATGTTATTTCACAAATGGCATTTATTATGAGCACATGCAGGGGTATGATATTCAGCCCTGGCCCCTGCAGTCCCCTTGAATCCCGGAGTTAGCATTAGGGCCCATGATATGATTCTGCCATGGTCTACCACTGTGAATCAAGAGGACGGACGTGAGCTTGCTATTTGAAGGTTATACATGGGCTTTAGCTAATGCGAATCAAGCAACTGAGCTCTTTATTTTTAACTATGCGGAGCCAAGGCAAAACTGCTTCAGAAACAAACGTAAATTACTCAGTAATTACTCCAAACATGGAAATAAACCTTGGCACTCCTGAAAAAGGCTTTGTTATGTAGCTCACAGTCAGGGAGTAATCAAGAAACAAGGACAGTGAAAATTTCTATTTGTTTCAACCAAGTTAATGAGGATGGCGTGTTGAACAACGGATATGTGGTTTGTGCGTTTGCTCTTGGCAGCCTCCTCTGTAGCGAGGGTTAATGGTTCGTTGTGGTTTCTTGATGTTGTTACATGCCTTTGCTCGCTCCTGATTAAAATTAAAATTATGGCCTAGATGGGAAAATAAAAAAACATATTACAATTAAGAGGGTTGGTGTCAAAAATTAAAGCCATCAGAAACAGGAATAAACGGAGTGGTGTTTTTTTTTTTTTTTTTTTTTTCCCTCCTCCTGTTCCCCATGTAATTCAGACTGTCGAACTGTGCTCGTCAAGGGGGAATGAACCTCTATGCAACACCTTGTCAGGCACAACACGAACTGCATCAGACCTGTACCCCCGCAGACAACGATTAATTTTCATCAACCTCATTAATTTTGAAGATGAATTTATAGCCGCGGACAAAATAGCCAATTATCGGCCACAGCAGAATTCACTGGGCAGCAAATTGGTTTCTGTATGGGCGGAGAGCCGAGGGAGGGAGGGGAGTCGCTGTCTGCAATTCTCCAGTCAGACGGCCTCAGTGACAGCGGAGCCAGTGGAGTTATTTAGCAATAGGACGAGGTGAGCGTGAGGGACAGATGCATCCAGGTCTGGTTATCACAGTCTACCTGCTACGGAGTGTGATGCGCTCCTCTTGGGGACAGAGGGGATTCAAGGTCCAGTGGAGCTGAAGCACTTTCAAGATGGCTCAGTTACAACACAATCCAGGAGGCTGACAGTTAAGGCCAAGACAGTTAACTGTGGATATGCAGCATTTTGGCTGACAGTATTTGTCAACAGGTCAGAGCACGTGTGAAGAGTTATTAACTGGTGACACTGGTCTTACGATTGGATATTGATCAGTTAGTATCCACCTCCAGTGCAGAAGAGGTTCCTCCCTGAGTGCGGCCAGTGTTCTTTTGTTAGTAGAATTTAAAATTGATGACTGATGAAAATGTGTAAAAACAACTGTATATGGGGTTAGAGCTGAATGTTTAGGGCACATACCACATGGGCTCATATGCCCTGAGTAGTGAGTCCCCAGTTCAACTCCCGGCTGGCTGGACCATTTATTACATGTCACTCCGCTACTCGCTCCCTGAATTTCCTTTCTGTCTCTACTGATTCTATCAATTAAAGCCATAAAATGCAAAACAAAAAAACAAAAAAGGAACACTTGTATAATGCTTGAATCTTCAGGAACTCATGATTTTATGAAATATCATTTTATAGCATTATAATGCACCACAGTTCTCTCCAGACAATGAAGGAAAACTAACTGCAAAGTGTATAGGATTGAACTAACTGCATTAAGTTTGATATTCAAATGTTATTATATGTATGTGTATGTAATGTTCAAAGTTATCATGCCATGGTTATTTGTCTCTTTTACTTTTACAAGCTAGACTATCTGACACGTGTATCTGTTGCCCTCCACAGGTGACCAAGATGGTGAAGACGGTGACCACACGGACAGTGCGTCAGGTGCCCCTCGGCCCCGATGGTTTGCCCCTGCCTGAGGGCTCATCCCCACTGGGCAGCTACACCGACTCCATTGACAGGCGCTACCTGAAGAACGGAGGTGACCGCTTCATCACTCCTCAAGCAACCTCCACCCTGACACGCTCCTACAACAACTCCTACAACGATTCATACGGCGAGACGCCCGAGAGCCAGTACGTTCGCCACTACGGCCTGCACGACGGCTACGCCGATTTGACGGACAACTATGGCAGCCTGTCACGTGGCGTCAACTTCCGACCGCCACGCTACCCCTACTTGCCCAACAGCTACCGGCCGGAGAACAGCTACACGCTTCCTATTCGCAAGGATGACTATGGCCATGTTGCCCAGCCGCAGGTTCCCATGGGCACCAGCACTGTGGATCTGAACCGCTCACAGCCGGAGCGCTTCCAGCCTGAGCCGTACGGCCTGGAGGATGATCGCCGCAGCTTGGGTCCTGAGGAAGAGGAGCCGTACGAGCTGGAGCCCGACTACTCCACCGCCAACCGACGCACCCTGCAGGGGGCCAACCGGGGTCGCACCCACCGGGAACCTCTGCGTGATGGACCCCGCGTCAGGTGAGGAGAAATGCAAAAAAGATTAAGAGTAGAGGTTTGCTTTCTATGCAGGTCTGCTAATCTACCTCAAAGCAAAGACAGCACACAGATTAATCTGCATATTAGTTGTTTGTCGACATCAGTACCTGGTGTTGATACATAAAACCTGACAGTTGTGTTCGGGCTGAAAGATTCAGCCGACTGGAGCTTACAGGAGATAATGCTTTGCAGAAGGGGGAGCGACTCATTTTCTGAAGACTTCTTGAAGGTGTGCGAGTTCATACAGTATACATGTTTTTCTTTTTACATTGGACAGTGTGTTCTTGTTCACATGCATGAGCACAGACTTTGCCTTGACATTAGATGAGATGGGGCTTGTTAAGATAAGAGAGAATAAAGAATACTTGTCTTGTTCTTGCCATAAAAAAGACTACATTACACTGTGCTCAAGTAAACAGATGTCTCCTCTCCTTGAGCAACTTGCTTGAGAAAGGAAGCAAGGACAAAACGAGCCTTTGATTGCCACTTTTCCTGGAAATGGATAGCGAACATGTGTTTGTGTCAGAGGTAAAGAGGTGGGAATACCGGGAGATGTGATGAGGGAGGGAAGGGAGGATAAACAGGATGGAGGGAGAGTGGGAGAGGACGGGAAGCTTTTGTCAGTTATTAACCTTTGTTGAGAGGAGTATGACCCCTGGCTCCAGGAGGCAGAAAAAAAGCCTGTTAGCCTTCGACAATAAGATCCCAAAGTGGACTCTTGTCCACCAATAGCTTCCGATCATTTCATTGCCACCCAAAGGGAGGGCTGGAAACCCTGGAGAAAAAAGTGTTTTGATGCAGGGTTTTTGACATTGAGTTGGTGGGAAGTGTGTTTTAAAGACTTCTTTTTGAGCAGTGACCTGAAGAAAATGGATATTTTCGACTTGTCTACAATTTTCCACCAATCTGTGGGCAAAATGTTTGGGCCCGGAGCCAGATCTAAAGGAGGAGAGCTGAGGTCGAGAGGCAAGAAAGAGGAAGACTGGAAAGAGTCTGTCTCTTAATCTGTGTGTGTGTGTTTTTTGTCACGATCAAAGGTGATGCTGAATCCAGGTTTGCTGCTGTCTCGATAGCGCGAGAGTTTCGCTTTTCCTTCTTAATTAAGCTCACACACATGCACACACACGCGCACACACACACACACACGCACACACAAACATTCATGCGTACGCAACAAGCTGAATTTAATGGCCCCTCCACTGATGTGTGTGAGACACGAAAGAGCAGATGCCTAATCAGACTCCATGTCTTTACACACTTTTGACTTCGCTCTGACACTTAGACACACAGTATCTCTCTTACACACACACACACACACACACATACACACACAAACAGTCAATAAGAATCCACATCTTCAGAAAATGAGTCACTCCCCCATCCGCCTAGTGAGAGGCACTTGCTGTGACAGGCAATTTGTAGCCTGCCTTACATGTGTCACAACACAGCCCTAACAGCCACATACACCCCTTTCCGAAACACACACTCACAGACGGACACACACACACACACACACACACACACACACACACACACACACACACACACACACACTCACAGCCGCTCGCATGAAATGCCCAATCATAGACACACACGCGTTTGAAGCCGCTCTTGACTGACTGCTGACTGGCTAATTGCGGCAGAAAATAAATCACAAATATTTCCTTCTGTCTGCTTTCCCCCCGTTCCTCCTGCACTCGTATCAGCTGACGTGAACACCAAAACATCAGTACACTATAGGCATACTTCCCCCCCCCCCCCCCCCCCCCTCTCCTGTGCGCTCACGCAGCCATTAGTATTCTTCCAAGACGGAAGCGGTGACTCCAAAGTGCTGTAATGAATCTTGGAATTAAAGTGGTTTATTTACAGCTTATCATGGCATTGCAAGCTCTCAATTATGCGCCGTCAAAAATGAAGATGTTTAGAGCTATAACAGCTTCACGCATCGGCACCAGGCGCTCGTTTTGTCACGGCCGTGGAATCCGCCGCGTGTTCGCAGACGGATGGGAACGATGAGGTTCCTTGGATGTGTGGGCATGCCTCACTCTTGGATTTTAGTGTTCGCATATCTGCAATGTAGAGATGGGCGGCAAATTAAGGGAAGATACATGTCGAATGCAGAAACCTCTAGGGCTCGCTGCGCAGTTTGATGAAAATGGCTTGAATCATATGAATATGAACTTTCGTCATCGATGCGTTAGTGTTTTATTGTCCCGCAGGATGGAGGCCTGCTGTCATTAGCTGTGTTACCAGTGTTTTGTTTTCAGACAGTCATGTGTTGGAATTAGAAAAGCTTGAAGGAGAGAAAGAATTAAAATTGAAAATAAAAAATTGCAGTGAAATACATGTTTATCTTCATCTGTTGACTTTTTCTGTTTTATTTCATCTTTTTTAATTGAGATTAGTTTTATCTACATGTCTGGACTGCAATTTTTACTCTGTCATTGGTCTTTCTGTTTACTGAGTTTTGTCAGTATTCAGTCTCGATTTTTCTTGATTTTGAAGCACTTTAAAACTTTGCTCGGAACATTGATAAATAAAGGTTTATAGTATTTCAGTATCAGTCCTCGGCTTTTACAGATAAAATATGATTGTCTCATCTCTCTCTCTCTCTCTCTCTCTTCCACTGTCTGGATGTGAGTGCATCTTACTCTATCTTCCCCCATCCCAATCCATCCTTTATGTGCGTGTCAGTGTGCGTGTCCATGAGCACCATCCTGTGTGTGTGTGTGTGTGTGTGTGTGTGTGTGTGTGTGTGCGCGTGCGTGCGTGCGTGTGTGTGTCCTCACGGCATCGTGATTAATAGCTGCTTTTGAACTCTGCCATACTACAGGGGCGTTTTTAAGCCAATCTCTAATGGCTCATCTCTCCTTGGGCGACCTGCTCCGTTTCACCTGGACACCTGCATCTAGGAGTCACCACACACACACACACACACACACACACACACATAGAGAGATATAAATACACACATACAAAGACACTCATCGCTTATTTGAGAGGGAGGGGGTCTCATTCTAATCCAGTGGTGTCTGTAGGGAACAGCCCATGGAAGTGATCTGATACTGGCCAGCTCAGCCCTCCTCGATTATGCCAAGAGGATTTCACTGAGAGCCAAATACTGCGTTTAATATGATACTCCCCTTCTGTCATGTTTGAGGTTTCTCAGAAGCATCCCCTAAATTATAGGAGAAACTTCTGAGCAATGTCATTCTCCTTTAATTGAATGAAAACAAGCAGAGTTGGCAGTGAATAATGCCGTCAAAACAGCCTGAGAAATTAGGAAGTGGCGAGACATAAACACTCCAGCTTTGCTGTTATTCTTTTTTATTTTTCTTCTTGTTCTTTGTTCTTTGTCCCACAAAGACTCTTGTGTATCATAAAACAATTATTGCCCATAATTCAAAATGAGCAGCGTGCTCGGCAGAGACAGTCAGTGAAGAGCTCATAAACACAGCAGAGATGTAATGTGAACACTTCCTCGGAGTCTGTAATCTCCTTTTCCGGGCCCGCCAAAGACGAGGGGTCAGGCATGGCTGTGATTGAAGGCTGATGAAAGTAACAGACAGAAGATGAAGGGGAGGAAGACTAGCGAGAGAGTCCAGTCCTGAACTTTGTGAACATCTCGTATCTGTATCTGTATCTGCTTATCTTTTCTTCTGTTTTTTTGTGTCTTAGAACGAAAAAAAAAAAAAAAAAACAGAGACCAGCGCACAGATACACAGAAATAGCCCGGACATCCAGCAGCTCGATTAACATGAGGAGAGTGATCCGCTGTAATCATGCTCAGAGCATCGCGTCTGGCAGTGGAGGGCCCTTTCACATCCTATGAATACACCCCTCCCTGTACACACAATGGCGCCAATTTAAATGCAAATCCTGACATTCCCATCACTCAGCCTCACGACGCCTGCTTTGCCAAAAGCCCTGCCGCATCGGCACAGATCTAAATGAGCCACCATCTACACAACTGTACATCTCATCTGTGTGTTGAAGTGTGTGTCTGTGTGTGTGCGAGACAAAGTGTGCCACAAACAGAGTGTGACAGATAATGAGAGAGATGCTGAGGTTGTGTACTGCCCTTTCTTTAGGACGGCCTGTCCCTGCCTCCAGTTGCCTTGTCATGTCCAGTGTCCCACAGCAGTTGAAAGCTGGATGACGGCCCGCGAGTGTGTGTTTAGATCTTGGTGTGCGCAAGGAAGCATTTAGTAACCACCAACACGTGCACACATGCGCACGTACTCGAAGATTTCCTTCTTTTTCCACACAGTCTGTCATAAGGTTCAGTGTTTTTGCCAAAACCTCAGAGCAGCAGTTGTTCTCCAAATGATGTGCTGTAATCAGGCTCCTGATTGGTCCCTCCTTCCATACTGTGGTTACAGGCTGCGTATAGAAGTTTATGGCTGTCCAAACTGCTCCACAAAGCTGGGAAAAAAATACTTTTAAAAGAGAAATAAACAGCACTGATACTCCAGATCCACTTTGGTTTAGGTTAGCTTTTTTTTTTTTTTTTTCTTTTTTTTTGTCTGGAAGAGCACCTGCCTCTTGATCCGTGCCCATGACACCAAAGTTTGCCACAGGCGGTCTGCGTTGGGGTTCTTTGAACTTGGTCGGGCTGTACTCGACTGCAGTGGTGCGTGACTCCATCTCCATCAATCCTCTCTCCATCCGTGTGAATGGAGGATTCAGAATCTCGTTACACTGCTCAGTCAGGAGTTTTTTCTCCCGGTTCATCTCCTATCAGTTTCCTCAGCATGCCTGAGAAGAACTGTAAAAACACATAATTAACATAAAACTCATTAAAATTAGAACTCGGTCTGGAACTCCCTGCCAACCAACGGCGTTGGCCACCATTCTGTTGCACCACCAACCGCCATACATCAAAGATGGTGAGAGGAGACCAGCTGGATTATGTAACGAGGGTAAACAAGTCTCAAGCTGTGGGGTGGGTGGGTGGGGTGATAAAGGCTGTGCATAACTACACAACCCTAATTAAATTCCTCTCCCCATGTCATAACTTTTCCTGCCAAACATTCTCCCGTCCCTTTAAACAACTCAGTGGTGTTTGCTCAAAAAGTTGTGAAGTTTCAAAAAATATTTCGTGCAACTTCTCTGCCAGTGTAAAATGTGACTCTCCCGACTCCATCTTTGTGAGAAATCGCTCCTGTGATTAAAGAGCTTTAAGTAAAATAAGTCGCCTGAACTCCTGCTACAAATGATCTGTCATTGGAATTGAAGGCCTATATTTTCGCCCATGTTCACATAGAGAATTGATGAGGCTGTTGAGAACACTAGAGAACAGAGTGTAGCTCATAGACTCTGACAAGCTTGGGAAATAGAGATTGGTTGAAGGAAACCCCCTAAAGACCCTCAAAAGCGACTCCCCTCTTCCCCAACACTTATTCCCGACGAGAGCTCGATACTGTTCACGTCCCTGACCCAAGAGCAGCGATGCCACTGAGTCTAATGCTGGCAGATACATCCCGCAGAGATGGTCGTTATCATTTTAGCAACTGCATGCTAGTGTTCGGCACTGTGAGCAAAGGCAGCCTTCGGGGCATAATGGGGGCTCCTAGTGCTCCCTGGGGGGACAGCACACTTCTTTTCTCTGTTCCCTGAGGGAGAAGTCACCACATCCCCTCTCTAAGGTGGCTTCTTAAAAAAACTTCATATGACTTTTCCTTCAAAGCTTCTTCTTTGCTGTTGTCTTTGTCCCTGTGTCTTTGTGAACTGCCTAGTTTTTCTTTGTGCAGGCTTCTCCTGTCTCTCAATCACTCTCTGCAACTTTATGTTTGCTGAAGTCTGACGTGTTTGTTGCTACCACCTGACAGGGAGGAATAATAAGGAGAATGGTGCTCACCGTGCCGCCACAGTCTTTCTAACATACCTGTTAATAACAGATCCACACTACAGATCAGTGTCTCTCCTTCACTGTCCTGCACTCCTTCCTTTTTCCCCTCCAACACCCACATCGTTTCACCTCTCACTCACCCTATCCTCTGCTATCCCTTCTCCCCTCATTAGTCAGTGGCTCTCACCTCGCTTGGCTTCTCTCAAAGTCTTTCCCGCGGCTAACTAATTCTTCTCTCAGACAAATCTGTCTGAGTCACCCTCCATTTACCTCGTCCATCTCCTTCGTCCTCATCGTCCTCTCTTCTCTTGTCTTCCAGAGGGTACCCGGACGACCCCATTGAGGCAGAGCTGATCGATGAGCGCCACCCTTATATCCATGGCATGTATTCAGCGCCTCTGGCCCAGCCAGAGAGAGGAAGCATGGCCAGTCTGGACCGCATGGGCGGCCGGCGCTCACCCTCCATCGACAGCATCCGCAAGGACCCGCGCTGGCGTGACCCAGACCTCCCTGAGGTCATCGCCATGCTGGGCCACCCCATCGACCCGGTCAAGTCCAACGCCGCTGCCTACCTGCAGCACCTGTGTTATGAAAATGACAAGATTAAGAAGGACGTACGTCAGCTGAAGGGGATTCCTGTTCTGGTGGGCCTTCTGGACCACCCCAAATCTGAGGTCCACCGCAAAGCTTGTGGTGCCCTGCGCAACATCTCCTACGGCAAGGACAATGACAACAAGGTGGCCATCAAGAACTGTGACGGCATCCCAGCCCTCATCCGCCTGCTGAGGAAGACCAATGACATGGAGGTCCGAGAGCTCATCACCGGTAAGAATCAACATTTTATATACATATGCATATGTAATGTGCAGACCCCAGCAAAAATCACATCATCATCATATTCATATTTTTCTTTAGTGAAAATAAAATTGAAAAATTCCCACTAAAATCATGACTCATATCACAATCACAGTATCTAATATGATTTTTTTTGCACATTGCTCACTCATTCGTATCAATACCTAGTCATTAGGAAACAGATTTGGATGGAGGGTTGCCAGGTGGAGACAGACATGCCCATATTCACACCTATAGGCAGTTTTCACAGTCACCAGTTAACCTAAGCTGTATGGCTTTGGACTGTGGGAGGAAACCAGAGCACCCAGAGGAAACCAAAGCACCCACACAGGGAGAACATGCAAACTCCACACAGAAAGGCCCCACCTAGCTGAGTGTTTCAAACCCAGAAGCTTCTCGCTGTGAGGGAACAGCGTTTGCTCCTGCACCACCGTGCTGCCAGGCAACAACATCAGCTATTAAAATTCATGTGTGATTGAATTTAAAAACATCAAGTTAAAACAATCCAAGCAGGTGATTGTTTTCCGACTTCTTGTTAAGCTGCTTTACTCCGGTGTTATTACCACATAAAAAAAAGAGCACAATCTAGGAGGAACAACATGTGTATGTTGGGTAGCCTGGTATAAATGACTGTTTCCCGTATCATGGAAGATCAATATCAGAAAAATGTTCTGCTAAACTCATGACTTTATTTGTCTTAACCACATCACCAATTTTACTGCAAAGCTTGCAACCACAGCATTGTATTAAGTCTCACATACTGTACATTCATATTTTCCATCAAACTACATAAAAATGTAGATGAAATGACTTGAAATAAGTGCAGTGGATATATCTGATTGCTTTTTCTTTAACTAAAACATCATTTAAAATTGCTCTGCCACAGGTAAAGGGTTCTTGGATTATTCAAAAACCACCTGCGTAGCACTGTTGTAGCCAAGTCGGCCGTCTCCTCCACGAAATGTAGGAGTCCTCTGTCTGTCTAATTAGTCTCAAAACTCTTTTACCCATCGTGTAAGTATAAAAGTGCTGATACCTTAGTCTTTCCCAGTCACCGGCTGCAGACTTCCATCTCTTAAATATTCCATCCAGGAATACACTGAGTTGGCAGCCATAATCCTATACTCTGCATAGTAATGCAGGGCTGTGAGTCATACTAATAGTAAGAAGCAGTTTTCCACACCTCAGTGTTTTTGCAACAGTTTTCACAGTGTTGCTTATATCACAGAAAAGCTCAAATGCTGTTTTTCTCATTTGTTTGAATGCCAGGCGTCCCCTCGTTAAAAGAGCAACAAATGTTAATGAGCTCTTTACATTGTCAGAAAGCCATTTTCTCCCAAATAAATGGTCACAAGGATCACAGTTGGAATCAGAGTTGTGATATTTGATGACTTAACTGTGAGCAGGAGGAGACATAGAAAATGGAAAAGCATCTGGGATATAAACACTGATTTTAGAAGGAAAGCATTGTGTAATGAAAATATATTTTAATTCCTGGAAGAGAAGGTATTGATTCAGACACCAACATAGGGTTTCTTCTCCTTGACCCGGTAAATGCCAACTGTAGAATATAGTGGTGTTTGTGTGTATGTGTGTGTGTATGTGTTGGTGTGTGGGTGTGTGTGTGTGTGCGCGTATGTGTGTCTTTCCAAGTACTCAGCTAATCCCCAACACGATTGGTTTGACCTGACACACTTTGGCTAGTATGCACGCTTTGCCATCTGGGAAGGGGCTTTTTGTTTTCACTGCACGTGTGAAAAACGAGAACCACTTTAAAGTGATGCACTTGACCTCTGTGAAGTTGCCCACAAAGTGTAAGATACAGTAATATGCACCCCCCGAGACAGAGAAGAGGTTACTTTTTAGGTAATTTCACATTGTGTAGGGAAGGAAATTTGTTTTCAAGCCGCGGTTTGGCAGCTGTTCATGGTTTCTAAATGGATTTTATTTTGTGAAGATCTGTGAGGCTGTGGCCCTGAAGAGTGAATATCAGTACAAGACACTGGCTATTGACAGCTTCAATTCAAAGCTATTGACAGAGATACCGGTTCCTAAAAACCCATGCTTGTTGAACTGTAGTGTGCATGCAAGTGTAAGTGTGTGTGTGTGTGTGTGTGTGTGTGTGTGTTTCCTTTGCTGTGACAGAGATGTCGTGGTGAGCGATGACTGTGCCTCAGCAGAAATGATTGTCTGTACAGCATCGTGTTGCTCCCCATCGTAGCTAAAAATAACCCTGCACCACAAGACAAGGAGGACAGAGTGGAGGGAGGCTCTTTTATTTTTTTTTTCTGCTCGTTCCCTCTCTCACTCATTATCCACCCTCCTTCGCTCAATTTAATTTTTTCTCTCCTTCATTCACTATCTACGCGCTCGCTGTTTTTCTTCCTGTCCTCTCTCTCTCTCTCTCTCTCTCTGTCTCCAGCTTTAGGTTTCCATTGCCAGTGCTCTGGCCCCAGTGAAAACAGGCCAGTCACAATGCAAGCTCAGCTTACAGCCTCAGCCCGTGTGGCTAGAATTGGCCGTGTTTTTCTACAATTAAATATAATTGGGGGTCTTTAAATAGAGGCCCCTTTTCTTAGTCCATGTGTTTTAAGAGTTTGCCATTGGAGTTTGTGCTGTCCCTGTAAAACCACAGAGAGCTCTGTTTTCTGCAGGGGAAACGGGTGACGTGGAAGGAACCAAGTGGTTTTATTTTCCAACACACAAGACAGACAGACAGACAGACCAGTGGTTCATATTTTTAGAGCTTTGTGCTGTTCAGAGTAATTCTGTTTTCCCTCTCTCAGTAGGCTCTGGGCTGTTTGTGCCCTCCAGCAGTTCCCACTGTGGAAATGTAGATTATTAAGCGAATTTGTCTCTAGTTTTTCCTGCAGGTAGTGTCGAAGTTTGGTTGATTGCCAGTCAGGCAGGTGCTTACTGCACACCTTTGGATGAAGAATCTATACAGTGCAAGGTGGCGGGCCTGAAAGATAAAAGCGCAATGATGTGTAGATACATGTCTATATGCCGAAGCTTTGTGTTGTTTTGTTCTGAGTTTAACATAATATATGCTGCACTATTTAGTGGATGTTTTTGTCTGAAGCTAAATGAGCGCCTCAGAGAACTAAACACACACAGGGTGTTAATAAAGCAACCAACAAACAGTACGATGTACTTACCTCAGACCATTTCAATATAAATTCTCCTTTTTTGTTCACATGGGGGCAGCACAATAAGTTACAAACATAATTTTGACCCATTATTACCTAGTGAAGTTGTTATAACTAATGTGTTAGTTGCCTGTCTACTCATGCAGCAGATAAGTTGCAACATTAGAATTGATTTGCAGTCATGAAGTCCAGTCTTCACTCTGCTTCGAGCTTTGTTTAGGTCTTCACCAATTCCTGCCAACCGGCTCTTTACCTGCGCAGTGCTCCAACATGTTCACCAGTTGGTCGCCATCTTTGTCTGTTAGGTGCACAGTGGGTCTATTGGAGGTTTTTTTTCTGCTGAGCTAGAACCAAAGTTGATGAGAGCAGTGAGACTTTGTTCATTTGTGGCTGTAAAACCAAAACAACAAAATAAAATGCTCAGCAGAGCTGAGGACAACTGCGGAGTTCTGTAATTATTATTTAATCTGTGGGTCTTTTACTAAACCTAGTCTCCACATTACATCAATTGTTAATAGAAAAATATTGATGAAAATATGTTCTTCATCAATTGATACCTGAATGTACATTTTACAGCAGTAGGAGAGGTACATACATTTTTGAGCAGCCTCCTGGAGCAATCATTTTTCACACAGTCACAGCAGGAAAAGCACAGGTGTAATTAATAACATTATTTAGTAATGGCTGCATTCCATTTAGGTTTCCAGATCCCTCCTCTGATGTTTTGCATGCAGGCTCACTTGAATGGTCTCACTGAGACACTTGATGAGATGTTGGCGTTATTAACTGCACTTGCCTTCTTCCTGTTATGACACTCAAAATGTGTCTGCTGAGAAAAGGATTTTCAGATACTATCAGCCAATCTCAAGGCAGATATGAAAATGTATTTTAAATTATAAATCACAGTGGACGAAAAGGAACCCAGTAAAAGACACAGATTTTGTCACATTTCTCATTTGACCCAGAAATGCTCTCGAAACAGAACAGGCTTCACGTGCCCACTTTACTGCTTCTTGGAAGTTGCTAAATTTGTGGATGTGGGGCAGCAGACGCAGCCGTTACTTGTAAATCACCGCTTAGCTGTTGGCAGCGGTTTTCTCCAAGGGCATCGCAAGGACGGTGAAGGACAGTGATTACTGCACTCTACTGTATTCAAATCAAATCCCAGGAATACTCGTGTCTGTAGAATACAAATCTTAATTCAATTCCCGAAGACACGTGCAGCAGTGATCGATGTGTTTTCACTAAGTATGTGATCAAACACACTGCGTCACCTCCACCATGTTCCACGTGTCTGACACTAACTGGACCTAAGCTGATTCTTAACAACAGGATGGTTTGGGCTCAGTGTACTGGTCTCAGCTCAGATTCAGCACATAGAGTGTGTTCCTACCCCACATACACTTCCTGTAGGTGTGACTCATACTCACTGACATACAGGTCAACATATCTGAGGTCCTCCACCATGATCCATGAGACAACCTGCAGAGTTCATCATCCTCTATATGTGTGTGTGTGCACGTGTGTGTGTGTGTGTTTGTGTGTGTGTTTGTGTGTCTGGACAGCATGTGTTGTGTGTGTGCATGAATAGCCCCTCCTACCTCATAACTGCTTTCTGGGGATTCATCTCACACACACATGCACACACATTGTATAAATCTTCCATTTCTCTTACTTAACTTTCTGTTTGCTGTCACGGGGAACAGTTGCTGCGGTCTCCTCCCTCTCTTCCTCCTTCCATGTCTCTCCAACGCCCTCCGTTTTTTCCAAACTGCCTCACCCTTTGTCTTCACCACGGAGAGTGTAATGGATGGTGTAAGG